AGTACAATACATTCTGTTTTCTCTCCACAGATGAGATGATAAAGTGGTATTCAGCAACTAACAATGATTTTTTGGACTTTTTTGTTTGATATCATTTTAACACTTTCAGATTCTGCCCAGAGGTCTTGCTTAGCCAAGTTATATTCATTTGCTTCTTTAAATGTCTATCCTAAATCAACTTACTTGTTCTGCTTGGTTTTCTTTTCTTCTTAAGTGGAAGATGAATTAAAGGATAGGATTTCTTATCATTTCAACATGAAGCTAATGCCCAGGGGAGAGCAAGACTTAAAAGCTAGGGTTTCAGATACTTGGAGCTGTCCACTTAACAGCACATCACATTCATTTTAGACCGAAACAGTGAAAACTATCAAAGGGCACATTAAAAATTTTCAATGGATCCATGGTGGCACAGAAATGACCAAGTAGAGTGAGATCCTGGGTCTCTAACAGGCACAATGTGACAAAAAATCTGGTTCAGATGTTTCCTAAATGTCAGGTTTTGCCAGTGGAAGGAAGAAATAAAACACAAAATAGAAGACTGGTACTGCAGAGCCGCTAATTAAAACAATTCAAAGAATATAAATGCTAGAGTAATTTTGGACCCGCCATGTCGGGCTGGTTTCAATGCAAATGCAGTGTTCCGATTTCTCCCTGCATTGGTAGGGTATAATTAGCTCAGCTGCAACTGGGTGGAAGCCTTGTGGCCTCCATTTCCTGGTGCTGCCAGCTCCCTCATGATGGAAGAACAGCTGCCACCAGCCCCTCCCTCCTGGATTGCTCAGTGTCTTGGCTACCCTACATGGATGCTCACAAGCCACTGTGAGAAGAAGTCTTAGGCTTCTACAGGGATCAGTTTTTCCGTAAAGCTAAGGAATATGCTACTTCTAGTCTGCTCCATTCCTAATCCTTCTGTATGGAGGGCAGAGGTCAACACAAAACCTTCTCTCATTACTGTGGCAGAAAGGATTTTGAGCATCGCCGTGACAGCCCATGTCAGCTACAGTTACTCACTTTGGCATTTGGTACAGGCTGTTGGAGAGGATAAGAAGAAAATGAGGAAGAGAAACCTTACTTAAGGTGTGTCCAATAAGATACCTGAACCTTAAGGACAGCATGTGACCCTAGCTATGGTGACAGAGAAGATAAAGACACACCATCATGGGGATGGAGTGCCACGAGGCACATAAATGATCCAAGAGGGGGAAAACTCATGTGAAAGCAAGTGTGCTCTGGGACAGAGCCACCACAGACACACTGAAGTTCTGCAAACCCAAGCAGCACCTTCTGCTTGTTCGTTTAACAAACTCAACAGAATGCCCACCCCCTATATACTTTTTCAATAAGCAAAAATATTTCTGTAAATACTTCTACAAAACCAAAGGGTGGACCATCATTTCAAAATTTTAGAAAAGTCAAAATAAAATTCAAAATTTCTTTGTTTTCTTGGGGGCGGGCTATCCATTGTTGGATCTCCCATCCACCCTCCACTTCCTTCCCTCTCCTGCCCCCCACCGCCTGAAACAGAGGCCCATGGAAGCCTGGCAAACAAACACAGACCTGCAAACTCTGCAAGTACAACTTAGTAAAGACTATGGAGCAGGGAGATGGAAATTAACATGACATCTGAAGCTCATTTTTTAATGACTGGAGTGTTTAACAAATAAAGGAGCTGCGGATCATTATTTCCTCCTATCAGCTCAACAGGAGGTACTTCAGGATCTTGTCACATATATGGAGGGTTTTCTTTTCAACAAAAGATAATAAAATATGGTAGATAACAAATACCAATGTTTTTATAGTGTGCAGATGATCAAGATTAACTCTTTATGTTCACAATGATGACCAATATTTCACTAGTATTTTTCTTTTCAGGATTGGTTTTCTTTATATTTGAGATAAGACTCACATACCATAGTTACCTTTTAAAAGGGAACAATGCAGTTTTTTTCCCCTTAGCATACTCACAAAACCGTGCAACTGTCACCACTAATTCTAGAACATTTTTTATCACAACCAGTGGCAGTCACTCCTCAATCTCCCTTCCCTCTAGCCCCTGGAATATGAATCAACTTCCTGCTCCCATGTATTTTCTTGTTGTGGATATTTCACATAAATGGAATCACACAATAAGTATCTTTTTTTTTAGTTGTAGATGAACACAATACTTTATTTATTTACTTATTTATTATGTGGTGCTGAGGATTGAACCCAGTGCCTCACACATGCTAGGCAAGTGCTCTACCACTGAGCTGCAATCCTGCCCCCAATAAGTGTCTTTTTATGTGTGTGGTTTCTTTCACCTAGCATAATGTTGTTAAAGTTTATCCATGCTGTAGCATGAATCAGTAATTCACTCCTTTGTATTGATGAATAATATTTTATTGTATTGCTTGCCATTAATTCATTAATGGATTCTTAAATTGTTTCCACTCTTTAGAAGAGCTTTGGTGTGAACATACAATTTCAATTCTATTGGGTATGCACCTAGGAGTAGAATAATACTGAGTTCTATGGTGACTCCATGTTGAACACTTTGAGGAACAACCAAACTGTTTTCCAAAGTAGCTGAACCATTTTACATTCCTACCAGAAACATGAGAATTTCAATTTCTCCACGTTCTCATCAATACTTATTACTGTCTGTCTTCTCACCAAATCATCCCAGTGGGTGTAAAGTGATAGCTCATTATAGTTTTTCTTTGCATTTCCTTAATAACTAATGATATTGAGCACTTTTACATGTGATAATTGGACATTTGGATCTCTTTGTGGAGAAACATATATTCAAATTCTTTATAACAAGATCATGGCATTTGCAGGGAAATGGATGGCATTAGAGCAGATTATGCTAAGTGAAGTTAGCCAATCCCTAAAAAACAAATGCTGAATGTCTTCTCTGATATAGGGGGGTGACTCAAAATTGAGTATGGAGGAAGAGCATGAGAAGAAGATTACCTCTAAATAGGGAAGAGAGGTGGAGGGAATGGGAGGGAGAAGGGGAATTGCACGGAAGATGGAAGAAGACCCTCATCGTTATACAAAATACATGTATGATAATGTGAGGGAGGAAAAAAAAGAGAGACATGTGTCACATTTGATTGGGTAGAGAGAGGTGATGGGAGAGGAGGGGACGGGAAGGGGGATAGGAAGGGCAGCAGAATAAAATAGACATGTATTTATATACACGTATGTATATACTTGGCCATATAACCAATGTGATTCTGCAATCTGTACACTTGGAAAAATGAGAAATTATACCTCATTTGATTCAAATGTATGACATGTCAAGATCATTGTATTATCATGAGCAACTAATAAAAAATTCTTTGCCTATTTTTGAATTATATTGTTGAGATTTTCTGAGATATTTTTCTAGAAATTCCACATAGTTCAATCTTGACTTTGGAGATAAAGTGCATCTTTATTGATTTGGTAAAAATCCGGTTCAAACATTTACTGAGCACTTACTTTGAAACCATTATTAACTTATTGGAAAGAAAAAGCTGTTGTTTCTGCCTTAGATATGCATAAAGGTCAGCAAAGCTTTTCCTCAGCCTTGCATCCATGTGTTTCTTTGCCTTCTGAGACTAAGAAACACTCCAAACCCACCTCTCACCAAGATGCATCTATTGGTAGGTAAAATATCTTTCATGTTTTACATATTGGGAATGAACTAGTCATTTCTAGACTCAAGACAGGTGCTTTCAAGCTCCATTTTGAACTCTGGTGAAGACTGTGCCTATGATATAACCAAGAGAATCCTTTTAATTTAATCTCTATCCCTTGTTGCCACATAAAATGTGAGCAATGCTTATTAAGGTGGCAAAGGAAGAAACACCAAAAACAATCTACCAAAGAACATGCAGCAAAGCAATGCATTCATTTTCTTAAACTAATTGTGGCAAAGTTGGTTCTGCTAAAGTACAGAGGCATTGGAGATCATTAATGCTATATACAGGTAGTAGTATAGAAAAGAAACTAAGAAGGTGCCTTCTCAAAAATAAGCAACCATGGGAAGAACAAGGCATAATCTTTACCAACCCCAACCTATTAAGAAAGTCAAGTTCTGTGTCTTATCCTCTTAGGCTATATACATCCAGCACAGTATTTCTTGACTTCTGATTTCCTTCCTCTTTCCTTGAAAGTCAAGCAACACAAATGAGAAAACAAACTGGGTGTTGGGATAGTAGAACATTGACCTCAAACCTTCATTCTAATTATTATGACTTTGATGGCTCATACCCAAGTTCTACCACTTCAGTTAAATAATACATCATATTCTGGGGGTCAGTTCTAATAATCAGCAGATTCTATAACTCCACCCCGCTGTGATAGTTGATGTGAACCGGTTTTTTTCTTAGTTCAAACCTAGAACAAAGGCTCCAGGCATAATTTCACAGACTCAAACCTAACTCCCCAAATCCTTCAATCTCATGACCTCCAGGAATACCCCACATCCTTATGTTCCTCTGGAAATTTTCAAGTTGAAAACTCTTGGAGATGTTACACACTGCTCTGGAAAGCCATGAAAAGAATAGGAGGGATGTCAAGAGCTAAACTGTGTTATCCCAGAATTCTTATGTTGAAGACCTTACCACCAATACTCCAAAATGTCACTGTATTTGGAAATAAGAGTTTAAAGAGGTGATTAGGTGAAAACGAAACCATTAGGGAGGGCCTTAATTCGATGTGACAGATGGCCTTATAAGAAAAGGAGATCTGGATATAAGAGCTACATAGAGAACTGTGAACATTAAAAAAATAATAATAAAAATAAAAATCACACGAGGACACAGCAAGAAGGTAACCAGTGGCAAGTTCAGGAAAGAGGCCTCAGCAGAAGTCAGACCTGCTACCACCTTGACCTTGGGCCTCCAGAACTGTGAGAAACAAACTTTTGTTGTCAAAGTCCCTTCGTCCTAGCACGTTTTGTTATGGCAACCCAACACAACAGGGGATCCTCTGCAAAAGAAAGATCCCGTGCCTGCACAGCCACTCACCCTGTAGTAGTCAGTGCTGTACACATCCCGGGACATCCCAAAATCCCCGATTTTCACCAGCAGGTTCTCCCCGACGAGGCAGTTCCGGGTGGCCAGGTCTCGGTGCACGAAGTGCTGGGATGCCAGGTAGACCATGCCTGCCGCGATCTGCTGGGCAATGTGCAGCATCTGTGACTGTGTCAGCTCCGTAGGCGGGTTGCCTTCCGCCATCAGCACTGCATCAGGTCCATGTGCCCTGGGGAAAGACAAGGAAGGCACAGGTGCAGCCTCAGCTCTTTGTTCTGCCTCAACTGCCTATGCCTAAAGAGGCTGCCTGACTTAGCACAAAGAAGAGACTAAGATGCTTCCCTTCCCATCCAGAATGCTTCATTTCCCCCAAGAATGTGAATTCCCAGGGCCACATGGGTTCCCTCCCACACGACAATACACATACAGGTTTATATTTTAGGGGCTCCAGAAAAGGCATTAGGCAGAGCTTCTGACTCAGAGAAGCAGAAGGTAACCCAAGCAACACAAAACACTGGGGAGAGACTGTTCTCTAGATGTGGTCATAACACCCCAGTGAGATTCCCATCCCTCTCCACTGAGCCAGCTGCTGCAGCACCTCCAGAAACTGATCCCTCCAGAGTTTTCCCACCAGCACCAGAGTTGCACAGCTGGTGGTCTCCTTCAGTCCATCTGCTATACTCTCAAGCTGCCCTCAACTTCATGCCTAGCTCAGTAGAGTCCCAGAGTACTCAACATGGACACTCATTCCCAGTGAAAATTACCATTTCCTTTTGCCCACCCTCCTCTGGACTTCTGGACAAACACACCTACTGATCAACACATAAGATAACTCTTCTGAATCACAACACAGATTTTTCTCTCACTGGGGAAAGTTTGATTCTTTATTCTATGGAGGTGGGGTAGAGTTATGGTATTTTTAACCTTCTTTTTCTTCTATCTTATATACCCTTCCTAGGTATATGATGAATGAGGGCATATTAATATTGGCATATGCCTCATGGAGAAGAGAGTCAGGCTTAGGGTGCTGCCCTTAGCAATGGCAGTTGCAGATCCGGATCTAGCACTAAGCCTCCAAAACAGACATCACTGCCTCGATGGCCTGAGGGGGCGCTGCAGGGCAAGATATAAAGGTATTGTTTGCTGCGGGGCCTGGCCAAAGCATGGTCCAAGGCCTTCTCCCTTGCAGAAGAAAATAAGGGAGGGGAAATTCTCCTTCAAGACATTTTTAAATATTTAAAATAAATACAGAACTTTAAATAAATTTAAAAGTGGATGATGTCATATCATCTGCAGGGTTCAAGAACTATATTAGTATTTGCAAATGAGAAAGACAGAATTATCCACAAAAAAACAGCCTCACATTTTGCCCTGCTTCTTACCCATGAACTGCTCTAGCCACAGGCATGTCCTCAGCCTTCCATCATGGCTCCAGCACACAATGGTTCACCCTTCCAAAGTGTGTTGTCACCAGATCTTTCATTCTCGGGAAGCAAGTACTAGACAAGGGGTTGAGGGAGTCTCCCAGGCCTTCTGGTATCTAGCACCATGATCTTAAGACATCTATTGACTTCTCCAATCTTCAATTTCCTTATTAATCAAAAATACAAAGGGAAATTGTTCTGTATTATCTCTTTGGTCCCTTCTGTCTCTAAATACTTGGATTTAACCATTCTCGAGGCAAGAGCTCCCTGGATTTCTCTTCTCAAACCAGAACCCCCAACTACCTCTTGTTACACTGAGGAACACAGGGAATGTTTGGGGCTTTCCTTAGTACAGAGGCCAAACTGAGTATCAGAACTGAATCTGAATCCAGTCCTAATACATTATCTGTGTGACCTCAGGATTGTTACATATGTTTCTGGGACTGTTTCCTTATTCCCTAAACTATTGATACTAACTGCACATTTCTAAGGCTATTGATGGGAGGAAGCATGAAGACTTTGCTTGATAATGTTTCATGAACTTTCATAGCAAAGCCAGAGAGAAAGAAGGCTTTCCAAAAACAAAATTATCTCTAAAAAACAATATGAAGAGGTGATATGAAAGCACACGTTTTTCCTCTTTAGGATACCAAAGGGCTGGCCCTTTTCACCTCATTAATGGTTAATCAAGTCTAATCCTTAAGGGAGCAGGGGAAAGTGAGACTATTTTCACGTCTCTTCCTCAATTTTACTTAATTAATTTTTAAGGACTCAACACCAGGAGAAAGATGTGGGGATGCACATAATAAAGGTAGATCTGAAATAAACCTTCCAAATATCTGGGCCAGGATGTAAGCTTCATAATTTTAATTCAAAGATTAAAATAATTTTGGATTGCCCACATCCTTATTTCAGTCCCAGAAAAGTGAACTGTTCTACTGCTCTAAGTATCTGTCAGAAGTAAAGACCCCAGAGCAGAGGAAGGGTCTTCCCGAAGGCAGTACAGAAGCCACCTGTGTGCATTTCACACTAGCAATTGCACGTGAGTTGGCATGTCCATGTGTGAGGCTCCTGCATTGTTAAGTCATTTCTCCTGTTTGCTTCTGGGTGTGTGAACCAAGTGCTTTTTATTGGTAGAAGCCTCTGGATGCTTTCTTTAAGCAGAAAGTTCTGCTCTAAAAAGAAAGGCAGGCGAATCTTCTGAACAATTCTTAAGATAAGCCTAAATAAAGTAGGCACAGCAAACTCTGCTGTTGCTCCCCAGATTCTCCTACAGTTCTTGGAAATAGAAATGTATTTTACTTCTGCCAGGAGAACAGTCCTTAAGAGGTGAAATTACACTCCTCGAACCATGGCCTGGGGGGCAAGTAGCAGGTTTTTAGGGCCTGATCAAGAGGCTGCTCAACCTTCCTCATCTTGTTACCAATGTGGGTTGTAGCTAGAAATTCACCATCTTGCACTGGCTCTGGAATTCCACAGCACATTTCTTTCCTTCTGAATTTTTTTTTAATTAAAGTAATTTTTTTTTAATTTTTAAAATTTTAAAAATTTAATTGACATAATAATCAAATAAATCTATGAGTTACAGGATGATATTTCAGTGAATGTATACAATGCATAATGAATTATTAGATCAGAACAGTTGGCATATACTTCTCTTAAACATCATTTCTTTGTGTTGGGGGAAGTTTCAAAATATTCTCTCCTAGCTATTTTGAAATATACAATTAATTGTTTGCAACCATCTTTACCCTACTGGCTATGGAACATTAGCAGTCATTCCTCCTATGCAAATGCATCCCTCTACCTGTTAACCATCTCCTTCTGAATTTTTTTCACAGCTACTTCAGCAGGAAGAGTTGCATAGTGGTTAAGACTATAGGCTTTGCAGTCAGCGGTCATGGGTTTGAGTCCCAGTTCTGTCACCTGCTATCTATGTGACTCAGTTGCTTCAACTGTAATATGGAAATGATAATTCAAATAGCTTACTGGGTTTATGCAAGCTAAAACATGCTTGGAAAGGTTTAATAAATATCAGCCACTACTGCTTGGAAAATATCTTTCCTCTCACTAGAGGGGAACTCTGGACAGATTCTAAAAGGAAACATTGTAAAATTCTTGAAATCAGCAATTGTAGTTCCCTCCTCTTTTTCCACCCAACCTAGGATAGGGGTGGCTCAATATATGCTTTTACATTAATAAAAGAGGTGGAGTTATACAAGAAGACATCTGTTTTTATCAGTCAATGTCAGGGACACTCAGGGAATATATATATATATATACACATCAGGTATCCTCCCAGAAAGAGGACAGCCTGTACTAGCAGTGCATTACTGCACCTGAGAACTTGATTCTTGGCATGGCAGACCTCTTGTTTATAGAGCCTGGCAGATTCTGAAATTAAGCAGGGTAGGTTTCCAATTCCTCCACGCCCTGTACAGGATGCCAAGGGAAAACCTAGTGCCTTCCTCTTTGGAAGGCAGGAAGGAGACCAGGGTGTGGTTGAAAGAGCTACAAAGTGAGAGAATTAAATTACATCTCTCTCTCTCTCCCCTTTCTCTCTGTCTCTCTCTCCCTGTCCCTCTCCCTCTCACCCCTTTTCTCTCCCCCACTACACACGCACACACACACACACACACACACACACGCACAATCTGAGCACATAGAGGCATTTAATTGCATCCAGGTGAGTACATTTGGATCTGTTATGCTAGAGTTTTGGGAAAGCAGCAGACTGGATTAAGAAAGTAGCCTGAGGCCTGGTGTAAACCTTTCTCCTAGGGACAAACAGCTAGACTCCAACCAAATTCAGCTTCTTTTCCTCTTTTTACTAGATCTGATAAAACAACATGCAAAAGCAACCATCATCCCATGCTTATCACCTGCAAAAAAATATTGTTGATATAGGATAATGCATTAGGATTGTTTCTGAATACCTAGAATTGACTATGTGCTCCTAATCTTATCCAGCATTCCCTCACCCACACAATCAGAGGAAAAGCAGAGAATGGGGATCCATCCCAGCCAAGGAGAACTAAATTGTATGTGTAGCCATGAGGCTAGAGATGATAAAAATGATCCAGACGGCACCAATCATGTGATGACATTTCTAAAAACAGCAGTACACACTCCCCCTTCTACTGTTCTCACAATGATTGACTGATTACTTAAACTGCACCATGTCTGAATCTTCTAGCGAATGTGTGAAGCTAACTGGGGCTGATTTCTTTGCAAAGCCCTCTGCAATACCATGGGAAATAGGAGGAGGGCAGAGAGATATAGGCACTGCCATCACACAAAAGGTGTCACTCTCTAGGACCCCTGAACCAAAATAAAGAGGAAAATGTAGCAGAGATGAAGAGTTATGGGGAAAACCATTGTTGCTTACCTTTCTTCACAAGAGTTCCCATACTTGTACTTGAGATACATATTATACCCATTTTACAGGTAAGGAATCAGGCCAAAAAGGGCAAGTGGTCAGTTTGCCTCTAACACCTTTCCTGTTTCTCTTAAGTTATGCTATCTAGATATCAAGATATAGTAGTCAGGCAGTACACTAACTACTCTGTCAGAAATGAGAGCCAGCCAAATTTGAAAGGAAATAGCATGAATAGGATGTTAGAGCCAGGACAGACTTAGAAATCTAACTCAAAACCCCCAGGAACAGAGGTCACTGAGCCAAGTAGACCAAAATCCCACTTGTGGGCCAATAGCAGCTGATACAGAAAAGGAAGGAGAATATAAGTCTCCTGTTATTATCAGGACTTCAGACTCTTCAGGTTCATTATCTTGTATGTAGTACCTCTATTTGTGCCCCTGATTAATTCAAATAAAGATATTACTTGGTTTCCTTGACCAGTGGGTATCAGACATCATGCATTACTTCTCTTTCAAGGCAGATACAAAATGAGAATGCTCTCAATGAATCCTTCCAGAGTAGCCACCAACTTCCTCCATCATATCAAACTCATCTCCTCCTGTGACGTCTCTGAGGTAGCCAGGTTACTGGTAGAAATTGCTACTAGCAGAATCAAGCATCTGTGTGCTTATTGAACACTTTGTGTTTGCTCCTAGGATAAAAAGTTTCTAGTTCCCTTCTCATGGCTCCCTGGCCAGTTCAATATTCTCATCAGAACAGCCAGGAGGTTACTCAATTAATAACAACTAGAGTTCAAATTCAACCTCAGCTCTGTCTGAAGGCCAAAATCTCTGCTCATATTTTCTTGCCATTATGTCTCCTCAGGTCACTCTTAGAATCCCTCATATTTTGTGAGTTAATTTTGCTTTTCCAAACAATTTACCTTTCCTTGCATCAGATTCTGCTCATTCTGAGCTGTCTCCTTTCTTGTGCCTCCTCCTCCCATTGCCGGAGGAAAGGAACTTCTTGAGAAGCCCATAGTGAACTAAAACCCCAGGACAATGCTAGAAATCCAAATGACCCCAATTCTATTTAATAACCCAATGACTCCCTTTTACATCCACTTTTCCCTTCCTTGCCTTGATTTCTTTTGTGACCCTGCTTACCACAAAGTCCGTCAAGTTGAACTTGTCCATGTTTTCATTCTTGGAGTCTTTGCAATAACCATGATCCCAAAGCTTCAATGGTTTCACCAAATGTCATCCTATCTCTTTTGTTTATAAGATTTGGCTCTTTGGGTTCTGTTTCTTCCACTGTAGATCCACTGAACTACTGACCTAGTAGGTCTTCATGTCCTCTGAATAAAGTCCAAAGAACATGCTCCAGCTATTTTTCTACTTTATCTCCCCAGGTTCATTCCATAGTCGGGTAACCCCATACTCTTTGTTCTCACTTGACCACACCTTTCATGGTGGCACCTTGGTACCTTAGTTCTTATTGTTCCTTGGCCTTAAATAATATTATTCTCTTATGCACCTGGCAACTCATATATTCCCACTAAGATCCATCTCCAGTGCACATGTCATGTATCATAATATGCTCAATATATGCAAGTTACATCAAATTGAATCATTAGCAACATTATATAGAATTAGTTGATTTAAGAAAAATAAAAATAATAATATCATTGCCTTTTTTTCTCCAATTCCTTTCTCTGGCATGTGTTGCTGTGGTTATCAGAAAAGACTGTTCCAAAGAAAGATCCCTTCACCCTTCCCAGGAACACCACATCTTCTGCTACAAATTGCCTGAGCTGGGAAGTCCTATTCCCTCTTCAAGCCCACCTTCCCCTCCACTCCTTACTGTACCTAAGGAACTTGTTGAGGTCCCCATGCTTCATGTACTCAAAGACCATGATGAGTGGGTCACCCTCCACACAGACGCCATAGAACTTAACAATGTGCTCATGTTGGAGGTTGGTCAGCAGCTCAGCCTCGCGATGGAAGTCCTTGCGTGCATTGTCGCTGGCATCCTTCAGAGTCTGAGGAGGAGAGGCAGAGACAGGAGAAAACCAACACCTGTTAAACCAAGGACATCAAAGAGAAGGTTGCTTGCTGCAAGAAGGAATTATATCAGTGGGTCCTAAGAATTCTAGAAGAACATTTATCTCCTTTATTACACAAAAGATTGAAAAACAGCCTAATTCCTGAAGAAATAATGTTTATTATTAATAACTGAAGAATAATCCTTCATGGGTATGTAGAGCTTTACAGCTTATAAAGCATTTTCACAGAAGTTTCTTCATTAAGTTACAGACAGGAGTCACTTTACAGTCTTCATGCTTTTTAACTCTGTTCTGGGCCCAGTGATTCCTGGGCTTCTCTTCCCTCTTGGCCTGTTGAGCTTTCTTTGATGCTGTTTGCAGCTCACCTCTGCTAAAGTAATCTTTAAAATATTTTACATTATGAAAATGTTCAGTCGGAAGAAGGATACAATGAGCCTTTATAGACCTATCTTCCAGTTTCAACAAGAATCAGTTTTAATTTATGTGACACTCCAAAGCTGTCTCCACCCTGTGCTCACACACATCACCAGCTCAAAAAATGTCCCCACTCAGTGATATGCAAGACTGGTAATACTGCCAAAATGAAGAAACTCAGAAGCATGCCAACCTGGTTCAGATGCCTTTGGATCTCTGCTCAAACTACCCCAACACCACAGCACCCTAATAAATCTGGAATTTGTTGATGTCATATAAATGTGCTGAGCCTTGTCATGAGCCACCACTAAGCCAGGGCTATAGGGGCATCAGGAAGACACTAACCCTGATCCTGACCTTTTGTACTTATGGATGAATAGGGAGATAAGAAGCTTATATAAATAACTATAAACAAAGTTCAAAACCAGTGTCCTGAATGAACCATCTCTCCTCCATGTCTGTGCACCATGATCCCTTGACTCTTCTCTGAAAATCATGGTTTTGCTTTATGAAATATCTGTAGCCACCCAAATCACAACAAATTGTGCCCCCTTACTTTTGGACATGCTCATTCCTATGCCTGGAATACCATCTTGGGTGTGGTCACTGGTGTTGGAGGTTGAATAATGACCCCCCCCCTCAACATTGTCTATAACCTAACCCCCAGAAGCTGTGAGTATGCTACTTTCCATAGTGAAAGGAGCTCTGCAGATATAATTAAGGATTTTGAGATGAGGCAATTAGCCTGGATCAGCTGGTGGTCCAATATCAAACAAGGGTCCTTGTAAGAGCAAAGACAGAGAAGGTCTAAAGAACAGAAATAGAGGTTAGAGGGAAGAAAGGATGTTATGCACCTGGCTTTGAAAATGGATGAAGGGTTAATAAGCCAAGAAATATGGATGGCCTCAAAAATCTAGTTTACACAAGGAAATGAATTCTACTCTAGAACTTTTAGGAGGAACCAGCACTATTGACATTTTGATTTTATCTTAATAAAACTAATTTTGAACATCTGACCACTAATACTGTGTGAGAGATCTATCTCTGTGCCATCTCCATCTCTGCATTGCCAGCTCTGGGCACAGTGCAAGGCACAGTGAGGGTTTTATTCAATCGATGTTGGTGAATGAATTATAAAGCCATGAAAACCAAATTTTGAGAGGAATAAAGTTTAGAGTGGTTGCTTTAAACTGAGGGATAAGGAGAAAGAAATTATGAGAGGTGGCATGTGAGTATGTGAATCCTTCTGCAGGGGGATTGATAATGCCTAGTCATTATCAAGGTTCAACAGCAAATGTGAACATTCATGTTCACTTAAATTAAGCATTGGAACAGATTTGTATGGACTGTAAAACTCAACAGCATGTCCAAGAATACTGCCAGGTCCTGGTGGTCATTTTCCAGGTGGCTGCCTTAGCTTGGCTCTTTCTCTGGGGATATTCCTGATATGAACCACCTGTAGATCTAGGGATATGCCATAAGCTAAGTTCCCTGGGGAGAGATCTGAGATGATGATTAGGATGTGAGACATTCGTTAAAGCATGTTCTTAGGATCAATACCTGCCCAAAAGCTTGGACAGAGGTGATTGTGATGCAATCTCACTGAATCCTCCTCTGTTCTATAGGATGGACCTACAGAGCTGTCCTGAGTTGTGTCAAGGGGGCTAAGTCATTATAGCTCTTTATTATCCAATCATTGTATGGGGACCATCTCCAGAGAGAGATATCACCTTGAATGGAATTGCTAAGTCCCCTAATGGGGCAGGCTTCTGAGGACTGTTTGTTTGTTGGAATTTCCCCAGCAACTGGAGAAGCAAGTCCTTCATTTCCAGGGGGAGGGTGCTGAGCAACTCATTACCATGTCCATCACAGGACGAGTTTTCAATATGCAAATTCCCATGCCTAGGGCCACTTTCCACAGAGGATATCAATGAGTTTTCAGGGCTTGCCTTGTGTCATCATCAAGAAAACATTAGGATGATAGAGACAGTGCAAGATCACAAAGCATCATCAGCTGGGAGCCTCAGAGAATCTAGAATTTTCCTTAACTGCTTTATTTAGCAGGGTTTAAAGTTCTTTTTTTCCAGTGGTGACCTTACCCAAGGAAACAAAATCATAGCTATCAATTCCATTAAACCAGAGGCAGTGAGTGGCTTCCCAGTCAAATTCTGGGACTACCGTTTGCTATCTTCACTTTAGCATGTGGTTTCTGTCATCAAAAGCACCACTGGTTCTGCTAGGGAAAGTGAGCAGAATTGGATCCTCAAGTGCTCAGAAAAGCCATAAAGCTTTGATGGGGGCCATTGCCATGGAAACGGTACGTTTCTTCATTTAATAACAAAATGAACAGTTGCCAGTGACACCAAAGAGTAGATAATACCTGCAATGAGATCAGGCCAGGGTCATGAAGTAGCTGTCTTGTCAGATCTTGCAAAAACCACTGAGTCAGGGCTGCTGATTAACTGAATTGTTCTGTACTAAGTATTTTCTTAAACTGTGGACCCACTGCTCATGTCTAACTTCTAACACTAAGAACTTGATCCCGGGTCTCTGCTCCATTGAATCTGCAGAAATAGGGCTCATCACCATCCCCTATGTCTCCCAGAGTTAGTTAGTGCGGTTGGATCTAGTTAGTATGGTTGCATCCCTGTGAGTCAGGAGGAATGATGTGCCTCTCTTGACGGTTTGTTTAGGTTGGTTTTATCCAAGGGCAGGCTTTTGGAAATTTTTTCATTTGCTTGTTTTCTTGTTTTGTTTTGCTGAACTTCTCAGTAGCAAAATAGCAGATGAGGCAAGGAGATGGACTTGGAAGAGATGGGGATGGAAATGACATATGCCAAGTCCTATCCTTAGGCTCAAGGAGCAAAATGCATACATCATAGTATTCCTTGCACTTGACTTGAATTATGTTTTTTGATACATATCTGTCTCGACTCCTGCCTTTGAAAGTGGAAGTGTGTTCCATTCACCTTTTTTATCACTGGCTGCCTAACCCAGTGTCAAGCAATTGAAAGAATTCCTGACACAACAAGGTCTGTTTAAAGTAGAGAAAAGAGTGTGGGAAAGGAAGGAAAGTGAATGGTCTCTGGAAGTGAAAGATGCATACATGTAAAGAGTGGAAGTGAAGGAAGGACCAGAAAAATAAAAAAAGGTGGATGAAACTGCTTCTAAGATTGAAGAGGGCTGCCCAATGAATGCACTCCCCTAAGGAGTTTCTCCTCTTCTTCCAATCAAGTGCAAATCCTCACAATGGGATACTCAAACAGAAGGCATTTTGGCTTAGAATCGAAAGATCCAGGCTCAAATCCCAGCTCTTTCCTGTACCTCTGAACTGTTTTTCTCCCCTGCAAAGTGAGGGAAACAATATCACTCACTTCCCAGGGACCATGGAAAGAGGTGGGTGGTATTTATTGTAAGTTGGGATGCCTCCCAGCATACTTGGTAAAGAAGGATTTGAATGTGAAGCCAGACCTGCATTCAATTTGCTTATATAAGGTCCACAAATGCCAACAAAATACATAATAAGGCACAGGGTCCAACTCAAGGCATGAGGGGGTAGTGCTGCTAGGGGCTATCACCTCTTCCTGAATGGCAGTCTAAATGAGTTGGAAAAAGTGCTTTTAGGTCATTATCACAAGTCATGAACAAATTCTAGGTAAAATCTTTTTGCTCAAATGCTATAGTGTGTGTGTGAGTTGGGGAGAGAAAGGGAGAGGGAGGGAGAAAAAAAAGAGGGTGGGAGGGAGGACAGGGTTTTCTTTGTGGTAACACCACCATGAAAAAGTTAACAAGCACCTAATATTTTTATGTCCCCAAAGCAAATATGATGGAAAGGAGCCCACTCTGACTTAGTGCAAAGTCAAAAGTCGTGCTTCAGTAAAATTTTTGGATTTAGGAGAGATTTTACTATTCATGGGGCAAGCACATCTCATAAACCTAGCCTCATCTTATATGCCCATCCATTTTTGCATGTTGGGTCCTTTTTCAAAATTATGATTCAATTCTATTTTAAGGGATTCAGAAAATATGGCAGTAACAACTTAGGCAAAATCATCTTCTGAATTTGGCACTCTAAGGACAATTTTTCTAAGGGTGGAACCATAGCCAGACAGCAATCAGAAGCTGGAAAATCCTGCTATCAACCCTATTTATAAAAATCATCTCTGTTACAGTACCATGGCTGATTGTCGTGTTACTCAATTATGTGAGGCTTGGCCTGTTCCCTGAGTCCCTTGGCAATGCACTGAGGCCATGAATATGGAGGGGGGCATTTTCCTTCCCTGAAATTCCCCTCCACTTAAGTTTCATTTTGACAGGCGTATTTGCCCAATCATTAAATATTGCTATTTTCTTACTCCTAATGCCCACCTTGCAGCTCCAGCTCTTCTTATTCACAGTATATTTCCTGACACTCCAAAGCTGCCATCCTTTCTGAAGACATTCTCTAGGGAGAGGTCTCATTCAGAGCTACAACAAGATACTACCTGGAGTACATGTTGATGCACAGTTGGAATGATAGAGTAGCCCGAAATAAATTTTAGCACAAAACTTAGAAACAAATG